CAAAGAGCAAGACTAAAGACACCTACCCTTTAAATATCAAATCAAAAAACTTTTTTTTTTCCTTCTGGCTGCCAGTGAAGCAGGTAAAATCTCTGCCATTACTTTCTAAATTCTAGACTAGATACAAGATTTCTATCACATATCCTTGTAAGAGAATTTTTTTTCTTATTTGTCTCTGAACAAAGTAATTAAGAATACTATTCTCACCAGGCTTTAAAATATTGACAGTATTGAAAAGTAATTTTATTTTACTATAATTCTGCTTGTAACATCTGTACGTGTATCTAATTAATTGTACTTTTCATAAGATAATAGTGTTAGGTCCATTATATTTTTAAACACTACATTTTATATCTAAACCATTATGAATTTTTATGGATTAGAAGTGTTTATAATAATAGTATTCCAATCACACTGTAGTTGTCATATCCATTATTGATGAAGTGTTTCGCTCAATCCAGAACTCTAGGATGGCTGGGATACAACAAACACAGCAGTGGTCAGAAAACTGTATACAAGTCATTTGTTACAACAACAATTACTATGGTGTGAACTCTTCGAATTATACACTCTTCAAAGTCTAGAAAATCCTTAAGGGATGTAGAATATTATGTTTAGAAATATAATAGGCCTAATAATAATACTGATGTCGTATGACAAGTATTAGGTTGTCAAGAAATTAATGTTGCATTTTGGAACACTTTCATTAACCATCCCAAAAAAACCATACATTATGTATAATAGTTAAATTAACTGCCTAAATGTCATGTAAGTGTAGCCTATATAATGTGTAAAGTTTAGTATATTCTAATCCCTTATGGTGATGGCACACGACGAGACACACATTCAACATCTAATGCTGTTTGAATACGAGAAAGGAAACAAGGCCTCTGTAGCCACAAAGAAGTTTATGGAAATGTTTTGAACATTCGTAAGTGTCAACGATGGTTCAGCAAATTTCGTTCAGGTGACTTTAGCCTTAAAAACTGTGATGACAGGGGCTGACATATTGGAATTGATATTGATGCTCTGAAGATGCTTGTTGAGTCTAACCCAAAACAACACACTCATGAAATGGCCCTGAAATTGCATGTCTCTCATGAAACAATACATAAACATCTAAGGAATATGGGAAAACTCCATAAAGAAGGTGTTTGGGTGCCTCACAACCTCTCTGATGATCATTGTTTCCAACATGTAAATGTTGCTTCGTCTCTTCTGGCACGTAATGCATGTGAACCATTATTGGACAGAATGGTCACCGCTGATGAAAAATGGATTCTTTATGAGAATATTAAATGCCAAAAAACAATGGTTCAGTCCTAGA